AACAACTGGTTGCTGACACTTCTCCTCCATCTCTGTGATCAGCTGCTGCAGAGAAGAGCTTTGCTGGGAAAGTTTGGTTATATTTTCCTGTAGTCTCTGCAGAGTCTCCCTCTCCTCCTCCTCCAGGCTCTGCAGAAGCAGCTGCTCCTCCTCTCTCAGCAGTGTGTGCAGCTTGTTAAATTCACCTGCAATCGTCTCTCTCCTGTTCTTCACTTTCCTCTGGAAATAGAAAATAGGAAAGGCACAGAGAAAACGTGAGCCAGATGTTGAGTTACACAAACTGGGCCTCTGTCCGTGAAGCAGGGGATATTAGATCAGTATCAGGTTTGTAAGGATAGTTACTTATTTGGGAAACGTAGCATAAAGGGTGTGTTTTAGTTAAGAGTTAATATGGCCAGTTCAATAGCGGGGTTGTCTAGGGTGCTTTGGAAAGATGCAGTAAGGCAGGAGGGGGTAGAAAGGAGCAAACGGCAGGTGAGGGAGCCTTGGGGGAGGGAGTGGGGAAGCTGCAACAGTGAGCGGTGAGCCTCTAGGGATGGGGCTGAGCAGGAGGGGAGCATGGGCGGGGCCTCGGCGAGAGCAGGAGAAATGGGGGTGGAGCAGTGTGCAGGGCAATGATCCAAGCACCGGGAAGGTTCCGGAACTCATGCCCAACCTTCCCGAATGTTGGAGGCATGCGCTGCCCATGGCCGGCGCCAAGCCTGTGCAACGGAGCAAACAACCAGAGCAGGTTCATAACCTCATCCTGGAGCTTTACGGCCCCATCACTCCTGGGAGCTGCAGGGGGAAGGGCCCAGGGAGGAATAAACCCAGACACCCACCTGCCACTCTGTGGTTTTCTCCTCCTCTTTAGACGTCAGAGCCAGGGCCTTTTCCAGCTCCTTCCTCAGAGGGCCCAGGGCTCCCTGGAGTTTCACCTGCAGGGGCATCGTGTGTGATAAACAGCCATTAGTCTGCCTGTCCGATGGGTGGACAGTACTGTACATATTGGCATTTCATACATGAGCAGTAAATACCCTGGAATTGAGAAGCAGACTCGGCTCTGCCGGGCCCAAAGGCCTCATGGGAGCAGAGACGCCAGTCTCAGAGCAGGGGCTCTGCTTCCTGCAGACACTCAGGACTTCTCAGAGCCTGTGTTTGAGCTAAAGTTTCCCATCACT